AACGAGCGTGCGCCTGATCGATCTGTCCATACTATTGCCATATTGGAGTCACCAATACTCTATTCCAGTAGTTATTTGATCAGTGGATCCTCTGGAACTGTTGTGGGGGGTAAAGGGTTAAGAGAGGTTTCGCCAATCCCGTGAGAAATGTCGTAACCCGATATTCTTTGAACTATAGTTTTTATCACATATTCGGATTCTATGATCAAAACTGGGGTTATGAAAACATTTGTAGGCCTCCAGAACTTATTCTGACCGAGTTATAGAATTTACAAAATAGGGTGTAACAGAGTTTTCAGAAAAAGTGTTATCCTCAGTATTTTGCCTATATCTCAGCCACTTTTTGTCCGTTCTCTTTCAGTAACATCTCGTTGGAAAGCCTGGTAAAAACTGTACAAAATCATATGTCTTTGAATTTTTTCAAGTGAAAACTGAATGTTCCGATAGCCAATCAATTGAAAAATGGCGGTTTGAAAAAGCGTTTTTTCAAAGAAAATTAAAAAATTCCGGCCTATATAAAAAATGCCCGCAGAAATATTCATCGCATCTTGTAGAGTGATCAATTCTCTACAAACTGAGCTATAAAACTTTATTCCACAACTTCCGCAAAATGATGAAAACTGCATAACAACTAGTCATGCAATAAGTACAAATGTTTCATCTTTTCGAGAAAAATTCAATTTTTTTAAAATTTGTTTTTGCATTAAAATGAAAAAAAAGAAATTGTTATACAAATATGAGGATGATGATCCTAGTTCAATATATAGTTTCAGTCCTTCTTGCTGTTCATTTCTGACTGACGTGTTTTATTCGGTGATCTAACATCAGGAGTTGATCCGAGACGTTTATCTGGAGATGTTGGACGATTCTGTGGTGTGTGCGGAACTATCGTGGTTGCTGGATTGGATACACCTGCAGCATCTTTCAGTTTATATCGACGTGACACTTCCATAAATGCCTGGTCATCTTCAAACTGCTCATCGTCTTCATCGTCTACTTCCATATTCTGCTGTGGTTTTTCACGGTAGTGCTTTTAATCGTGAAAAAAATGAACGAATTTGTCTTGCTTTTAGAAACTCTTTCGGTGTGAAATAAAATTTCCCAAATTTCCCAATTATCCGTAGAATCAACTTCTAATGAAAGTGATATCATACGGCGATCACCAATTGTTTCTAATTTTGAATGATACATTTGCATGGCTTGATCTTTCATTGAAATACGTTCAACCTTGCGACGGTGTTTACCGCTTGCCATATGAGTGATCAAATTGCTGTTTTATATAAATGCAGCTATACAGCCTTCTTCTGGACATTCATGTAATTTACTGGGCGATGTCTGAATGTCATGATGAATTTCGGCCGTTGTGAAGTTACGAGATGCCGTTGTCGATTGTCTATTTTTACTCGTTGTTGTTGAAGTGGATATTGTTGAGGTGGCTGAAACAGAATCTTCACAGTGAAGATGACTAGCAGAGCTGGCAGACTTCAGATCTTTCCATTGAATGAGTTTTCCTGATCCTATATTCCAGGCACGGTGAACACGAAGACTGTTCTTTTCAAAACCGAAATTGTTAATGGTAGTGATTTTGGGGATAGATAATGTTGTTTTCTCTTTGAGACTGATAAGTTTACATTCAAATGCTTGTACACCTTTGACACCATCTGAATGACAAGCTTCAATAAATTCGGGGCATTTGTCACATTATGCTTCTCGTTCACATATCGACGAACATCTGCTTTGATTACTGCAGCATATCTGTCGCAGACTGATTTTCCTCCCTGAGGATCGGAAAAATCGACACGTTCAATATTTATTTTAGTTTCCTTCGATATTTGTGGAACAGATAAGATTGTCGATGCCGAATGGTAGCATCCGGCGTTATCTGAACGAACGAATGCACGATTAATCATTGGATTATCTTGTTTGACTTTTGTTAAAACATCATAAAGAATGGCAGTGACAACTTCAGAATCTTGTGTACAGTGTTCAATTGCATGTACAAATATCTTATTTCTATATACTATTAGCGATTCATCTTTATTTTCTTCGTCACTTTCGAGTGAATTTTCGCTGCCTGTTTCGTTATCGTCATCATCTTTGTCTACTACATCTTTTGTTGCTCTCTGTTGTGGAGCATCTACTTTTTCACAAACAACTGTGATATGCCGGCTGAGGCCACGTTTGCCGAAAACATTTTCTTGTGATTCTCTGTAGCTCTCGGTAGAAGATTTGCTGCTGTGCAATTTATAGTCCGATTTCAAATACATTCTTGTACGTTTTAAATTAGCAGTTATTGATCTTTTGGTGTTTATGTCAAGTCTTAAACCTTCTACTAATTCTGTTAAATCATCAAATGCCTCGCCCGCATTGGCGACAAAATAATTGACACCCTGCAGACTGTGACGGGTTGACGCTTTACAAACGTTCAATATAGATAGTAGACTTGTACGACCGAGAGGTGGGAAATCGGGAGAATTTTCTGCTATATATGAAGAGTCCATCTACCAGAAATCGTGATTTTATACTCCTAAGATACGCATGGGTAGGTTAAATTACATACATTCTACCCTGCACTAGTCATATGATCACTTATTTCCAAACCATATAAATATAGAGGCGTTTTTGTATTAAAAAACTTACATAATTTCACTGCAGAGTAAACAAAAGGGAAAAGTACATAAGAATCCATGTGGAAAATTTTTTTCCAAGAGCCTAAAACGCGTGGGATCCGCTGTGCAGCCGCTTCCAGGTGTGAAAATTTTGGATTTCATGCCATTTGAGTTCATTTTCAAACTGGTTTCTGTTCGATTTTAGAAGATAGTCTGAGACGATTATGAGGGAGTTTTTTTTTGAGTTTGGCTTCTCCAGATCAAATAATGAAACAAAATCAAACCCTGCAAGGTCTATACAATTTTATCCTGGAGAAAAGAAACTGTGTCTTCCAGAAAAAATTATAACAGGACAGTCTGTCCGCAAGTATTTTTCTTGCAAGCTCTGGCAGGATTTTGTCTCCCATGTCTATCCTGAAGCATCCTGCAGTCTTTACTCACTAATGTCTGTCCAAGGTGATCCTGGAGGAACTTGTCTGTATTTTTATTTTTGGAAAGTTAAGAACTTTTGCATCTTTTTCTTGCAAAATTATAAAAGGTTTTCTCGTGTACAGTAAACTTCTGGAAAACGTATATCTTAATGTATTAACTTCAACTTCTCAATGTTTTCATCGAAGTTTTTAAATTATATACCGTTCTACATAGTATTCAAAATTGAAGAAGTTAGAATAGTTTGATATCTCTGCTTTGCTATACATCTTTTTTTCACAGTAGTGAGATCATTCTAATGATTTTAATTTCATACTGATGGAAGAAAATATTTCTGACATAAAAAGGATCAGCTATCTCTTAATAGTTTAGTTTTGTACACATGAAAATGCGTGTCAAAGCCAAAATATTATAATATATTATATAAATATATTATATATGCTTTAAGATGATATGTAAGTACTTAGTAATAAAAAAGAACAACAATAATATAAACTTGCGTGAATTGTTAACGATATAAAAAAGTAATCGTTCAATAGTCGCTGGATAAATACACTTTGACGGACGATTATAGTTAGTTTTATAGAGATATAAGCAAACAGCTTTGCTAATGATAGTCAATGAAGAAAAAGGTATGAAAAATTGTACCATTAATGGTTTGTCAATTTTGATTATCCATATATTGTAAATGATAGGGATGGAATATTTGAGTGTACATTAATTTATACAATACCCTTCATGCAGGCTAATCACTACTGGCTGTTTTATTCATCAACTGATACATTTCAAACAAAATCAACGACATCCTCACGATCACTCAAGAACATCGTTGGATAATATGCGCGATATAATGATGAACCGGAATAAGTCCGCTGTTATTGCATATGTATTTGCCTAATAATAAATCATTATATTTAACGGGCTCAATCTGATAACAACATACGATGACGTAAATCAGCTGGTTAATTCATTTGTAGACCGTTTAACAATCAGCCCGCTTTATTCTTGCAGACAATATAGCAGTGCAAAAGTGTCTCGAAAAAGAATACTTTCGGAAAGTACAATGTAATAGTCAGAAATCCGCTTCAAACAATGTGATAAATAACAGCCGTTCTTTATGGCAGTACATGTTATCTTTCAGTATGAAGGACACTTTATGCATTAGACGTCCTTTTCTTTTTAGTAATGCATTTAATCAACGACGTGACGCCTTGTCTTTTGATTCTGCTGCTGATCTGTATTATTTAGTAAGAATGTTGCGAGAAAAAAACCAGGCAACTGAACGTGACATAGATAGAGTCTACCGTTTCGCAAATGCAACCGAAAATTCGAACGTCAGCGAGCTTCAACGCAATATTCGAAAAACCAGTCGAACACGTACAATGAGCAAAATCAGAAGCAGCCAAATATTTGAATATAACCATGGTCGTGTGAATTGTTCATTAGATATATGACCATGCAACGGTGGTCCCAGCGATATTTTCGACTTTGTGTAAAGTTCTGTGTCAGTTCTCGTCTAAAAGATATGAAATATGAGACTGGTAGCTTTCGCCATGTGAGCATGGAACGCTGACCTTAGTGGTGTTTCCCTCTCTGTGTCGAGTCACGTGTACTCATCTTAAAAGAGACTAAATATGTGACCTGAGCCATGATGTGAATTATTCATAGGCTATGTGACCATCCCACAGTGCTCTTAGTGGTGTTTGTCTCTTTGTGAGAACAACTATAGATTGCGATATTTGGATCGAGGAGTCTGATAGAATTCTGGGAAATGCTGGTCGAGAAGTTCATACGAACGAAATTAACGCTCGCGGCAGAAAACTGTTATAATGTTGTCCTTATACTGGTTGATTGATTTATGAAAGATTGTATAACATCAATATGTCTGCCGGACAGCAGATAATGAGAGGGTGCCCCCTCCCTCCCGAATAACTGTAAAAGCTGCTGTTATTTTATCCATTATTCCTCGCACAAAATTTTTTTTATCAGTTTCACACGGTAATCTATCAACTCGTCACGTTTAACCCAAGAAATATGTGGCTTTCGTAACCAGATAAACTGCGCACGCGCCTTTCGTACCGAAACTACATGACTTTCGTAACAGAATGGGTATGCGCCAAGTCCATTCTAAGACGCTCTTTACAGATAGACTTCCGTATCGGTATTGTAGGAGCCTTTCGTATCCACATTTTTAAGTGGCTTTCGTATAAGGTATGGCTATACTTTAAAGTCTCAGTGCACGGCTTTCGTACAAGACTTCTACAGGGCTTTCGCAACGAAGAGTGCTGATTCTTTCACAGAGAAAAGGAACGATAGGAATACACAAGGCACTCACTCAAAGATAGGAATATCTCTACTCTCTCTCTAATAGTCTGACCGTCTAACTTAGTTGGATGAGTTATTGTTCTTCTATCAGACGATGGTAAATAGTGACTCCTTAAGAATTATGACAACAGCAAGGCACTTATCAATTGCTAGAACGTCTCATCCCTTATAGCGTGCGGGTTAGGTTGAGTCGTCATGTCTATCTAGCTGTGTTTGGCTAGTGATCAACAATTCTACATCTCTGGGTTGGGTCAGATTGGGTTATCATGTCTGTACTCAACACATATCACTAAATCTCTGGGTCGGGTTGGGTTGAGTTGTCATGTCTATCATGTTGACTACAGACATGATAATCCAACCTTACCCGACCCACATAGATAGAACTGTTTATCACTAGTGAAACACTGTAAGACACACATGACAACTCAACCTAACCCAACCCAGAAATTTAGTGAAATATATGTTGACTACAGACATGACAACCGAACCTAACCCGACCCAGAGATATAGACCTCTTAAACACTAGTCAGACACACATGGCAACCCACCCTTACCCGATCCAGAGATATAGACCTGTTAAGCAGTAGTGAGACACAGAAAGCAGCATGAGCAATAAGTTGACCGTACGTGACTTTTATCGAACACCTAAGGAGTTACTATTTGCCAGCCTCTCTTCTATTTTTCTCTCTTTTTACATTCTAGGTTCGTTCGTAAAGGAAACCGGGTATATAGATATACAAAGTTTTACTACTTCGTTACACAGATAGAAAAGATCTAAAATATTCTATTCATTTTTTAGCTGCACAGACTCTCTTTAGCTTCATCGATGATTACGACCTCTTTCTCTGTAAATCTGCAGATTAGATACCACACTGCATAAATTGCATATCGCTCTGGCCAGCCATCTCTGCTACCGTAATTTCGTAACGATTCTTTTGCATTTTGTTTTTTTTATAATGTTTGAGTAACGAGAGGCCTAGAACAGATTAAAGAGAAAAGTGTGCTAAAGATTCTGAGATGCTCCTACAGTCTACACATTCTTTCATTCAGAAACTATGAGAAAAATACAATACAATTTTTCTCATAGTTTCTGAATGAAAGA